TCTCTCTCTCTCTCTGTGTCTCTGTGCGTCCCTCCCTCAACACGTGGTCCGTCCCCCCAGACCCTGCCAGACATGTTAATTCGACAAGGTGTTCCAAAAGGCCTTTTGCACACTCCAAACCCCACCCTCCTCTCTGACCCTAGTAGACATGTACACATAAGCGGATCCTTGCCATTGCCGATGGTCCCATCGCCTTCCTTCTCGTCAGGGGCCTCCCTCTTGGCTTCATGGATGGCCTCGACAGAAGACACCGCTCGGAAAGCATTGGCATGTTCATCAGGGGGCAACGATGCTATGTAGGAATGTGGCCAAGGGCAACGATGTTGTGTAGGATTGTGGCCGATGTGCATGAGTCTAGGTGCCAAAGAAAGATATGCAGTGTGGCCGGCACATGTCCACTGTGTGATCGATACACGGAAGCAAAACACACAGGAGTGTGCGTGCCTTCAGAGACTGCACCAAGCCTTCGTCGTCCATCTCCACAGAGCCAGTCTCCTGCTTATTGTTACCCACCCTATAAACCCTAAACACAGCCTAGCCAAGGTATTCGACGATCCACTGTCTGCAACACATGGCTACACTGAGATTGCTGACGATGTAGCTGGTCTGCACCAATTCACAGGATTTACAGTCGCGCTTTCCGAGATTAACTGGAGGTCCTCGTAGGGGTCCGCTGTTGTTGACTCTGGAACCGGTGAGCTGGGGCTTGGCATCTCCAGCTTGACATCTGAGGATGTAGTGGTCTTGCTCATGTCACTCTTGTTGGATGGGCTTGGGGTCTTCTTGTCTGGGCTGGTCTTCTTGTCTGGGCTGGCCTGCTTCTTCTTGACTGGGCTGGTCTTCTTCCGTCGGGTGTCCTTGACTGGGCTGGTGTCCTTGACTGGACTGGTGTCCTTGACTGGGCTGGTGTCCTTGACTGGGCTGGTGTTCTTGTCCGGCCTGGTGTTCTTGTCCGGGCTGGTGTTCTTGTCCGGGCTGGTGTCCTTGACTGGGCTTGTGTTCTTGACTGGGCTGGCCTTCTTCTTTGGCCGTGGCACCCGAAGCATTTCCAAGTGCTTTCTTGCAGCCTGCAGCATAAGTATCTGTAGCTGCCCGACATGTATGAAGCAACAATAACACACTAGAGCATCCAGGCAACCTCTATCTTCTCTTCCGTACTCAGGGTTTCATCCAGCTGAAACTTCTGCTTTGCCATGTAGGATTGACCCCGAAGAAGAGATCTGCAGGACCACTGCTTCGAAAGCAACGGCACCGGCGCTTGGTTGGATGGCATCCAAGCTTGCACCCAAAACTCCCTAAGGAAAGTGACTTGATCACTTTGGGCCACCGTAGAAACATCACCCAGGGCTGCTTGCTACAGGCACAGTTGATGCGTGTTTTGGTTGAACACAGCAGAAAAGATACTGGGTAAAGTGACGGGAATATGAGTACGGACAGCACGCTTTTGTACGCCACTTTCCTCCATACGTACGCCACTGTACGTTTTAGTGGTCACTGTGTACTCTTTTTTCCGAAATGCGCTAAACATGACCAACAGTACCCTAAGTGCAACCAACCGTAAGTGGCAACATATTTGTGTCACTAAAGGGGGCCCGAAACCGAACAGTGACCCTTGGCATTCTTTACAAAAGGGTATCGAAATCCTGTAAGCTATGTCTGCAAACACAACTATAAGTTTGCCATGCGCCAGGAACAAGAAAGATTGTGAACAACAGCTTGATTGACTTGCTGGCTTCAATTGAATAGGACTGCTGTATGTGCATTGAATCTACACCGGAGGCAAACTTGTTGGGAACACCCGCTTCCACTCGTCTGGCATTGCCAAACTCGTGGCTCCTTTCAGGTATGAGATCACTTCTGGCATCTTGGCGTCCTCCCACAGATCCACATACAGAGCCTTGTCGCAGAAGACAGACTTGGGATCGGGATTGTCCAGGATATGGCTGGCCTGGGCAGGGCTCGGTTCGGCTTGATATTCCGATACTGCTGTTACATTTTGGAATAGAAAGATCAGTCCTGTTGGCGAGCCGGAACTCGTTCCGAAAGCAATCGTGGAAAAGCCCTGACGAAGCGTAGTCCATACGGAAATGGGTACTGCCTTGGCTGCTGCAGCTGTCTGCAGAGATCATGTTACCCTAGGCAAACCACATCGGCCATGTACAGTCTATATGAAGTACAGAGGCACCCAGAAGCTTTCAAGCTGTTCATCTTGCCCGTGAACCTTTTCTTGCCGTTTCGGTCAATGTGCCTTCGAACCAGTGTAAGCCTGACACTCCTGCTCTTTTCCGCAGCTGTAAGTGGGCGTGGATCTTGAAAGGCAGCGATGCCCCGACTATTTGACCAAAGTCGCGTTCGCTTCGGGGACTTGGCCCCAAAGCGACACATCCAGAAGCCAGCTCGGAATGCCTTGGACGGGAGACAGAGAGAGAGAGAGAGAGAGAGAGAGAGAGACAGAGAGAGAGAGAGAGACTCAGAGATCGGACCGAAAGCGAGAGAGAGAGAGAGAGAGAGGCAGAGCGAGAGCGGCTTGACACGTATGGTTGAATGCGACAGACACAGAGACAAAGAGGGGGCGAGAGAGAGAGAGAGACAGACACACACACACACACACACACTCTGCGGTCGTAAGCACACATCGAACAGATCTGCTCGTGACTGCTAGCTGTTTCTTGAAGATAAGAGTTTCCGAGCGGAACGGCTTGGCATTTACGAAGCCCGCCCCTTGCAGGGTTCTCTAGGGTTAATTTAAGTTTACAAAGGTGTGGGTTATAGCGGAATTAGGGTTAAAACTTGGTATAGGGTTCGGCTATGAAGAGATATGGGTCGCCCAGAATTACACGTATGTCCTTGGGTCTCCTGGTTGTATAGTTTGATGAGTATTAAGACAGGAGCATACTCTTCTCTCTAGCAGGAGTACTGGAGAACTTGGCTTACCTTGTATGTAAGTATGTACGTATGTAACTAAAGATTTGTGTGTATATATGCACGTATGTATGCACTTATGAATGTATGTATGTAGGTATGTATGTATGTATGCATGCATGCATGGATGTATGTATGTATGTATGTATGTATGTATGTATGTATGTGTGTCTGTGTGTATGATTTTAAGATGCAACTGCAGCACTTAATTGCATGTACTCATGTCTCGCCTGTTTGTTTTGTTACGATATGCATGCATGTGTGTGTGTGTGTGTATGTATGTATGTATGTATGTATGTATGTATGTATGCATGCATGCATGCATGCATGCATGTATGTATGTATGTAAGTATGTATGTAAGTATGTATGTATGTTTGTTTGTATGTCTGTATATATGTATGCATGTTTACAACACATAAACCATGTAAAGCCGGGAGCAAAACTCAGCAATCAACCGGCAGGGTTCCTCAAACTCACAGTGCAGGGTTCGTCACTGCTTGGGCTGCTTTAGGCTTCGGGCTCCAGGGCGATCTTGGGGCGGGTAGCATTTTTTGCAAATGTTGCATGTTAGCTGTGCTTGAGGACCAGGGTAGATTTATACGACTAGTAGCCTTGGGGTGATTTAGGACCTCAAACAAGCCCTGCAGAAACCAAGGCTATGTCTACATGGCCGGACACCTGCTTGTGATCCTTGAAACAAATTATAGTAATCGGCTTCTAGTTCCGTCCTCTGTGTAGAAATACCAGACCTGTCCCAACCACCGACATCATGTTAGATTCTGGTTTGATCAGATAGGAACCGTGGGCTTAAAGGAATATAGCAGGGCTGGGCTAAATTTTTTGCAAGTTATTTAAACATCTCTACATTGGTCGGTAAAGGTTGAGGGTTTCTAGCAATAAATAGCAGGGCCGATAGGCACCAACATTGGGTCTCTATGTCCAGTATTTCGGTTCGGGCTGTAGAGGAATGTGACGGCTGGCTATACTAGTTTCATATGTTTCTCTTGGGAACAACTGAACTGGGGCATGGGCCTCAACTAGTTAGAGTTACTTGGGTTTGTGTCCAAGCCACACGTGTTGCTCGCAGGAGTTCTTGCATTCTGGGGTGTCGCCAAATCAAAGATGACGAGGGTTGCTCCAGCACCCAGGTCCCCGATTTAGCAAGGATCAAATATATGGCCAAGCACATCCTTTACAGACTGATTGGGTAGCTGCAACAACATGGAACACAGGCTCAGAATGAAGGCTCGAAGATACACCATCCCTGAACTATCAGTCCTGCTGCAAAGAATATTCGCATCTGCCACACACTTACGGCCAGAATCACCCAGCGGTCGGAAGTAGTCGCGCTGTGTGGAATGTCGTGAAACCGTCACCCAGGTCCCACATTCCATCCCGAAGCTGATAACAAACTCCCCATCCTTCGCCTTTAAGATGCTCATGAGCAACAGCCTTGGCTAGGAAAGTGCACTTGTGCCGCTGTTGTTGTTGTGGTTGTTGTCGCTGCTGTTGCAGCTTTTGTTATTGTTGTTGCTGTCATCGTTGTTGTGGTCGGTGGTGGTGCTGGTGGCGGTGGTGGCGGCGGTGGTGTTGGTGGGGTGGCGTTGGTGGTGTTGTTGCTGCTATTGTTATTGTTGTTGGCGGTGCTGGCGGCGGTGGTCTTGGTGGTGGTTGGTGGTGATGATGATGGCGGTGGTGTTGATCTTGTTTATGAGGGAGGGGGGTCGTCCGATTGGGTTGAGGGCTTGTAGGGCAGATAATATTGGTTACGGGATGTATTTCTATGGCTTCCGGCCCTCGTACAAGTACTGCACAGATCAGTCCTATCATCATTGGGGCCTACGGAACAGAGTGTTTCGGGGTTTGGGGCTATTACTGGTTTCGGCCCAATATAAGCTCAGGTGACTCCTCCATCAACCAAAGAAAAGTTGACAACAATTAAGACCCAAGACCCAACAAAACAAAGCCCAGAAGCGCCATTCCTGCAGAAGTGCACAGATCCATCGGGTTATGTGTAGGTCGATACCCCGGCTCATTTGCAACATCATCCCAAAATCTTATTTCCAGGGCCGCCACAGAAAGCCCCGACATTGCGAGGCATCTCGATAGAGAAGCCACTCCAGCGAAAACTTCCAAAGCGTCGTAGACCTGGCCGAAAGAATGGGCATATGTTTTCAGGGGCTGTTGGCAAGGCTTTTTGAATCGTAGCTGGCTGAACAAACATGCAGAGTATAAACCCTGCCTTGACCAAGTCAAGCTTGGTATTGAAGACGAGGAGCACTATGGCACATAGCAGAACCTTAAGGATAGCAGCACAAGCATTTGGGTAATTAAGAAGTCCTATCGACATCTCGCCTAGGCACCCCTGGAGCGTCGACTTGCAAAAGCCGGCAAAGGAGGCTATCCAGCTCATGTGGTGTCATGGCACAGCACGGGGCGCATGCATTCAGAGTACCCACACAAAGTTTCGAGCACGAAGCTTCAGCATGACAACAGACTCGCGGGAACATCCATGTATCAAGCTCTGCAATTTCGGCAATGACACCACAACAAGCCCCGGCAGGTGGTGCATGCGGCGGCGAGTGGGGCGAGCCTGCGCTGGGCCGCTCATCCAGCCGATGCCGCAGCTTCCAGGTAGCACTCATCGAGCAGATCGAAAAGGAACCTGGCGAAGACATTTTAATGGGCTGGAATGATTTGGTGCAACATGGGCTCTACCACATGAGGTCATGCTTGCAGCACAGACAGATGCACCCAGAGTCTTCAGAGGCATCCATAGCACTCAGCAATCGGCGGCTAACTTTTCGCCGCAGAGACGAAGCGGAAAGCTCGCGAATGAAGCAGATCCCCACTGCACTAAGAACCCTCGGAGATAAGGCACAGGTTCTATGGACGATGCTGTCAGCAAGCTCTGTAAGCTTTTCCACACAGGGCATTTTAGAATCACTATCCGATCTCGCCCATATCTACATTTACTTAGTTACATATGAGACTGTGTATATCTTTATTTGTGTTCAAGCCGAAAAGTAACATGCTCAATTGCACGAAGATATGCACATGTGCATAGCAAGCTCATAACGGCCCAAGTCCAGATCCAACAACAAGTCTACACAACAAACTATGTGTTGCAAGCTCATAACGACAAAAGTCCAGATCCAAAAACATATCAAGTTACAAATTCTACAAAAAAGCCAGTAATAAAACCATACATGTGTATACATATACACATGTAAATCAGCATGACATGTTCAGGCACATGTGTGTGAGTGTATACAGTATATGTATACCAACACATAGAAACTTCATTAAAATGCCCATAGCACACAACATCTTGAAGCACGACAGCATTCGCCCCTGCCCGTGCCCTCGGAAGGCTTTGCCAAGAAAGCATCACCCAGGTGATGCACACAAGATCGGACATGTAGCTGATAGCAGCCACTGAAATCAGTAAGCAGCCCCGAAGAAGGCTGCACCAAGGGCAAGCAGCATGCCAGAGAGGATCCAGATAAGGATGGTTTTGCAAAAAGCCTGCAACCCAACTGTAGTGTGACCTGACATGTCGAAAGTTGCTCACTCCTCCCACTCTCCGCATGCCACAGCATTCCACCGAACACCGTGGAAATTCGTGCGAAGGCACGTCCCGCAACCAAGCGGACCCCAGCGGCAGGTGGAGCATCCCAACAAAAGGGTGCCACACTTGGAGTGGCCAGTTCGGCTGGGATCCGGCTTCAGCCTAAGAGCAACACCACTGTCGACGGCCCTTTTCGGCGAACTCTTCGCCTTCGCTTTGCCCTTGGCCACTGCCTTTGCTTTGGCCTTGGGCACTGCCTTCGCTTTGTCCTTGGCCGCTGCCTTGGCTTTGGACGACACTGCTGCCGCCTCTCCCGATGGCGCCGCCTTCGCTTTCCCCTTCGCCTTCGCCTTTGCCTTCGGCAAAGACGAGGCGGCCGGCTCACTATCACACGTGCCTCGCTTGCGCTTCGCCACCTGCGCTGCATCCTTCCCACCTTTAGCTGCGCTCACCTTGCCCTGCTTCTTCTTCGGGCCCGTCTTGCCGCCCCTGACACGACGGAGCTTCGCTCGGAGATCCGTCCGAAGCGCATTCTGCTGCTCCAGAGAAACCGGCTTGACCAAGTCATCCCCAGAAGTGGCTTTCGGGGACTGCGGCTCCTCTGCAGACACCCTAGCCCGAACAACAAAGCAAAGCAAGAGAGAACAAACCATGTTTACACCACAAATTGTGTGAACCCAGTCCGGTTTGATCTTCTCTGGGCTCGAATCCACGTCGATTGGAGCCTCGACTAGAGCAAGCTCACCCTGGTCTCCAGCAACACCGCCTTTCTTGTGCGTCGGCTCGATCGGTGCATCTGCTGTCACCAAAGTATCAGCCTGCCACAATCCAGAAACCCGAATTATTTTTTGTATTTAAACTATCTGCCTCAAGTCCCTTGACCAGCCCAGCAATTGCACCCACAAGCAACTCCGAAATGGGACACCATCAACCTGGACTCCGAATCTCATGGGCCCTCCCACCTATTATCCCAATAGACCACCAACTTATTTACACAACTCTCCAATCAATATGAACCGGATATCTTATAGTTCTAGTTTAATAAATTAATAGATTCTGTTTATCGTTGGGTCATAAGTTCGCTCGTTGTACTTGTATTTATGCACACATATGTAAGATATCACCAAAGCAAGACGTGTATGTTATTGCACATGTAAACACAAATGTATTTTGCCGCACATAAAAGTTTGAGGGCACATACATGCACACATTGGGTCATGATTATTGTGTGGGTGCGTTCTCCATCTTCCGACTACCACCACTGGCCAGCCCCAGCATCGGCCTGATCGGGAGGCTCCTTCCAAGCCGGATCTACATCTTTGAAGAGCTGCTTCTTGCAGGTAGGCGGTGTCTCATCGGTTCCTGTTGTTGGGGGCTAAGGCAATGTTTCTATATGTACTGTTGCTGGACGACCACAGAAACATCATGACGCTTCTTATGTCAGGCCTCGGGATTTTCGAGGTCGGGCTGGGGATCCCATCATCAGGAGCAAGGCATCGTGGCGAGCCGTATCCGGATGCTTAGGCTCACCGTCCTCGAACAAGCTGATTTGTTGCAGAAGCTGCTGCAGCTCCTCTTCCTTGCTGGCGGTCACCGGCTTCTCATAAGACCCCGGGGTTTCAAGCTGATCGCCAAGAACAGCCGTCGTGGCCAAGCTATTCAAAGTAGACTTCGACCTGTAGCGCCATTTCGGGGCCTGAGTTTCTTCATCCGGATCAAGCTCCAAATCTGCCAAGGCAGCCTTCACACCACCGCCATCGTCCTTGTCCCCCACGGACTTATCCGAAACCCGGGCCTCCGAGCTGGGATCCTCCGATTCTTCGGAAACCGGATCATCTTCCCCACCCTCCTCTTCTTCGCCCTCGGCATCGCCATCAGCGCTATCCTCTGCATCTTCTTCTGCATCCCGCAACGACTCGATGATACTGAAGAGTTCCCGAACACCCTGTGCCTCAGAAGGTTTGTCAAACCCAGCATGCAGTTTGGGGCGGGGCAATTTAAGCTGTTTGCTACGACTTTAAACCACTATGTCATTCTTTGAAGAGAGTCCCGAGGTGTCTGGTCTCTCTTCTTGGCATCGTTCTGCCTTCGCAAGGCAAAGGAATATAGCCTCCGTAGATCCCATGCATCAAGGTAATATTGCTTGTCGCCGAGCTTGGGGTTGGGCTCACATCCACGATCCTCGTAAAGTTTCTTCACCTCGTCTTGCTACCATTATCAGATAATTATACAACTCATCAGATATACACATATATCTATATATAAAATTATATACATACATATAATATATATATATATATATATATCTGTCTATATGTGTGTACACATCATACAAGACTTTATTGATTGGGCAAGTGGCCGCTGACTCCAACTTCTGGATGGGAACTTTCTTACCACTTGTTACCTTGTAATAGGAAAACATCACCTTGAGGGCCGTAACATTCATCTCCATGGCTTTCGTAGATATCGGGTTCTCCTTCTTGTCCCCACCGTCTTCATCTCCCGAAGCCCGTGATGGTGGGAAGTCCACAAAGTAACCCTTCACCTTGAAACGCTTCTTGATAAGCTTTTCATTGTCGAACAACTCGTGCAATGGCTGCGCTACCATTGCTTCAGAACCGGTGCTATCAGCACACATCCTTGAAGTGCAAAATGCTCTGCGAATCATTTGATGCCTTTGCCCAAAGAGCATCCTACACTACCGTAAGTAAGCGAGCAGGGAAGGACCTTGATGTGCGATGCCATAGATCCATCCAGAGCAGGTCCTGCGTGTGCAGTAATAGAAAGAATAGACGGTGCCAACTACAGGAGCTGCAGAAACTTTGGATCCGAAGTATTCGATCTACTCAAGCCACGAATCCCATTATATTGTGCCCCTGTGGACGGTCCTCTAAGGTATCTAGCAGCAGCCGCCAAACTTCGCCATTGCTGCACTGGAAAAGCGTGCTTGCAGACAAGTACAGCCCCAAACATTACCGGTACAATGCATTTTGTATAGACAAGTGTGTAACCTGTATACTCTATCTATCCTATCCAAGCCCCTCAAGACCCTAATATCCTATCCACCTTCCTGCCAAAACCCAATAAGATACCCTGCGCCTTGCTGTCAGTGCGCTCGAACCAGCACAGCCCCTTGCTTCAGAGAGTTGACAAGGGGCTGGTTTCGGAGCTTTAGATTCATCTACTGATTAGGGGAAGGGGCTTCAAGTAGATTAGAATGAACTTCTCGAAAAAAGCAGCAACTACTAGAAGTGATCGATCTTATGGGGCACTAGGCCACAGTGATCAACAGAAACATACACTTTCGGAAGTTGATCTTTAAAAGGGGCAACAAGGCGTAGCAGGTAGGGTTCGGGTTTAAGGGATTCAGGGCTTCCCTTGCGAAGAGTTT